GTTCTGAGACACTGCTGGGCCTGTGACACAGGAAACCAAAGAGCCCAGGTTATAGCTGAACCTGTGAGAAGGAATGCAAACCTTAGGATATGGCTACTGCACTGGTGCCTGCACATACCCCACCACCAGCCAGACCTTCGGAATGGCTGCACTGGTGACATTGGCTTGTCTTCTGCACACTGGAAAGGAGCAATGTCCCACTCTTGGCCTTTTCTCCTTGGAAAAGGACTTCCCCTATCTGCCTGGTTCCTTCTAGGAATGTCCTTGATCCTAACGTTCTCTCTGGACTGCTCCTGGCAAGAGGGCAGGCACCTCCTCCTCAGGCCTTTATAAACACCAGACAGTGCTCAAAGCAATGAAGGGGCTCTTCAAGGGCATGTTGGGCTCTTAGCCCTGCACCTGCAGAAAGCCAACCTGACACGGTCCTGCCCAAGGAAACTCTTCCCTATCCCACCCCACACAGGTTCCTCTGCTCCCCGGAGCTACCGCTGCCCACAGCAGCAGCAAAGGAACCCACTGGCAGCCTCAGGCATACTCTCAGTTGGTGCTGACCTCTCCTCCCACTATGGCTCTGCACAGATGTGAACATCTGCTCAGGGAACAAAGGTGCCACAGGCAATGCCTCATACCAAGGGACTTTTGATGTTCTTCCAGGCAGCTCCCTCTCTCCACACCCCTGTAGGCCTTGAAACAGAAAATGGAGTGACTGGGGTGACTGCAGGCACTTTTATGACTTTGACTTAGTGTCATGCTGAAGTCATATAAATGCCCCAGAACTGTCAGCAGTAGATGCAGCTCTAAAGGCAGAAAGCTGAGACTTTCCAGCAGCTGGAGATTTTCATAAACTGTTGTTCCTGAATGTCCCACTTAAAATCAGCTCCTTCTGCATGCTATGGACAGGACAGTGCTCTGCAGGGCCTTGCTTGAGCCTGTGAGGTCACTTGGAAACCTTGTCCATGCTGACATCTGGAGTCACTGGGTCTCAGCCATTCTGCAGACCCATAGCACTGCTCCACAGCAGACATGGGATGAAGTCCTGAGCCATCCAACAGCTCCCTGAAAGAGGCATCTTCCTCTGAGAACAGCCAATGGGTTAATGCTTGCAAGGAAAAGCACCTGAGTGAGGTGGTGAACTAAAGCCCAGAAGCTGTCCATGGAAGGTGAGGAGCCCAGCCCCAGCCCCAGCCTGCACTGCTCCACTCACCCGCTAATCAGCCCAATTATCTCAGGTATAAATCATAACCCAAAACACTCCCAGAGCCAGAGTCACACACTGAAGAAGGGAGAGAACTGTTGGGTTGGTTTTTGTTTAGTATAATTGATATAATTACTAACACTCTGTGCCAAGAACTTCAGCTTTTCTCCTCCAGAAGAGAGCAGAGAGCTGTCTGAAAGCCATAGCAATTAGCAATCCCCACATGCACAGCTTTTATTAGAAAGAATGCACCTCTATCCCAGACAGAGCCAGCAGCTCCCTGAGGAGCTGTTAAACATCCCAGAGACCTTCTGGTGCCAGGAATGAGCTGTCACCAAGCCTATGTTCCCTGTCCCCTCTTCAGTGCTGCAAAGGCATCTAAGGAGCCCTGCCCATCATACTGCATGTGAAATGCCTTCACCTGGGCACTTCTTTGGTCCTAATTTTAACTTCCCAAACTCCAGATAGGTATGTCTTGCTGTGCTGTGGTCCAGGGAGGCTGATGTTTCTGAGGCTGCTCAGGTCCAGGTCATCACATTGAGCAGAAAGTCTCCCTTTCATTTTACCGAGGAATCTATCTGGGTTCTGATTTTCACACTCTAGAGCAGATTAAGGCAGTAATTATGTGGCTGGAGTTCCTTTACATCCTCTGATCCTGCTGCTCCCCAGAGAGTGTCTCGTGAGCAGCGGCCACAAAATCACAACTTGCCACGTAGCCACCAGGCAGCCCCTGCAGAGGTGAGGAGCAGAAGAGCTGAGCTTCATCTGAGCCCTGCAGAGGTGACCTCTCACTGGCAGCAAGGTGTGGGGACATGGAGCAGAGCTTGGCTTGGACCTGAGGCATGCCCAAAAGCCAGAGGCGATCCAGGAGTGTTAATAAACCGCTTGGGTGGGTCCAAGTCATTGCCCCTGTACTAACAATAGGAATCTACCAAGACAGGGAAGTGTCCAAGTACCTCAAAAAAATCCAGTAAAGACCCAGTGCAGCCTCACTGGCACTTCTCATACCTGTGGAGCAGGGAAAAAAAGAGCTTTTCCTGAGCATGTGCTAAATAGCCATGGAGCAAAGCCATCAACATTAATGGTTTCCCCAGCTCCTGGGGCACTGTCGCACTGAAGCCAAACTCCCTTGTAGGTCACATCTGCAACTTCACACACAAGTTCATGAGCTAAGTGGGATGCAAAGCTAGACAGTCACGGGCTCCACCTCGCTCCCCATCCCTGTCCCTGTCCTTGTCCCTCTCCCAGCTCAGCCTGGTGCACCAACCCTTGGCTCTGTTTTAGCATCTCCATTTCTGAAAGCTTAATTTGTTTAGAGAAATGATAACTATTCTTGGGGGATATTTTCATTGTCTGTTCTTTAATTAATTAAACTTGAAAGTGAGCATTCCCTTTAAAATGATTTTCAGTAAACATATAGGGATTTGGATGAGAGAATGGCTCTGAGTGAAGTCAGCAATACTTCTTTTTAAAAAAAAACCAACAGATTATAATGCCAAAAACTAACAGAATTCTCATGATGAGGAAGGAATGGAAAAATTAAGCAAAGATTAACATTTCCCACACAAGTTTTAATTTTGGCCAAAAAGTTCTTGTTTGTCCCAAAACATTTTGATGACATTTTTCAAATAGAATCTTTAATCTTACCCTGAGCTGCTGCAGGGTTTGTTCTCTCCTCTTTATTGAGATTTGTTGCCTTGGGAAGATGAATGATGCTACTCCCTGATTTGTTGTAGTGTTGGAGACAGGTAAATTGAGGGAGAACTTGCAGCATGTCCACCCTCTTCACAATCCATTGTTTGCATCATCTCTGAGCAAAGATGCGAATCCTGTGACAACAGAGCTGAGCATTGGGTGTAATGTGCTTTTATCATCCACCAAGGAATGAATAGAGGTGCTGAGAAGCTCTTGGCTAACTGCCTTGCACCAGCAAACACTGCTTTGCAGCAAGACAAGAGCATTGGAATTTGGGAAAACAGAAGGAGAGGATCAGAGAACATTTTAGGCTGGAAGAGACCTTGGAGATCATCTCATTCCACCCTCTGCCATGGGCAGGGACACCTCCCACCAGCCCAGGTTGCTCCAAGCCCTGTCCAACCTGGCCTGGAACACTCCCAGGACTGGAACAGCCACATCTGCTCTGAGCAACCTGCAGAGCCTCAGCAGCCTCTGTGGTTAATACATTAACGTGGCAAAATGGGAGCCATGAAACAGTTATTTAATCCACCTTGGGGTGTCATTTCAATTTGAGGTGATGTTGTATCAAGACTTGTCGTGGCATTTCAAGACAGTTATTTGTCTGAGGGAGATCTCAGGAAGGTTTTCCTTCACTTCCTGACCAGGTAAATCTCCAGCTTTGTCCATCCTGGTCAGACCAGCCAGGGCAGGAAAAGCTTCTCTCTGTGGCATAGGGAAAGGTCTGTTTCCTGGGATCACCTGAGACTGTCACCCAGGAAATACCACCCCTGCCCCTGCAGAGAGCACAGCCTGCATCTAGCCCCCTCCCTGCTCCCATACGTGATGGGGCTTTGGGGCTCCTCCTGCAGACAAGAGGTCCATTGCAATGGGCTGTGAACTAGGAAATGTCTGTGCTCTTTGCAGAAAGGTCTGGTGCCAGGGGGAGTAACAGTCTCTGGGGGCTTGCTCCAGTGTTCCGCTTTCACCAAAAATATTACTTTATATAGTCAGGAATAGTAATTTCTCTACCACATTCCTTTTGGAGGATCATTGACTTGAGGGCTGGGCCATGACAGCTCTGCTAACTTCCTCCTCTCATGCTTTGATAAGAGACAAAGTGCTTTCTGTTTGCAATTTGAATTCAGAGATCTTTCCTTTAGATAGCTTGGAAAAACAAAATCAGCTCTGTTGGCTATGGATGGAAATTAGAATTTGCTTTTTCCTTGGTGTGACTGGTTCCTGGTATTTCATCCAGATTAGAAGTGTGTTCCTCTTATATTTTGATTTTAAAATCTACAGATAACACATTGTATCCTACTCCCCATTGTTGCAACAAGAGATCTTTAGAGAGATGATTCCCAAACCTAGATGTTAAATTCTTTTTTTCATAATAAGCTTCATTTTTTTGGCTTCTCATTCTATTTTGAAACAAAAACAAGTCTTCAAAATTAAAGCTTCTCACCAAATTAAACCTCAATTTCAACTGCCTTAAGGTTTCCATGATGATTAAAAGAAAACAATTGGCAAATCACGTGTGAAGAAAGGCCCAAACATGTGTGATAGGAGAGCACAGGCCTAATTCCTGCGCCGTGACATCGGCTCTGACTCCTCCGCGCTGCCCTCGCAGGCACCTCTGGCTGTTGGGCTCAGCCCCAGGAGCCAGAGCAGAGATGCCACATCTCCCACCTCTGCAGACAAACCCTGCCCTGCTGGCATGGGGCTTTGGCCGCGCAGTCCACCTGTCCTGCCCACACGTGGGTGCATGCTGGGGGTACCCTGGGCTGTGCCCCCGCTGTGCCAGCCCAGCCCCAGCAGAGGCAGCTGTGCTGCTCAGTTTTGGGGGGGGCTGCAAGCCACAGCTGGCAGTGCCCGGCTGGGACCACAGGGGAGAGCTCTGTGTGTCAGAAGCTGCCATCAGCTCCCAGTGCTACACGACCAGCAGGAAGGGATGGTCCTTGGCGGTGGTCAGACACCTCCAAGCAGAGGCAGGAGCCTTACACCGACACCTCCTTATGTGAATCACTTTTTACTGCCTGATCCAGTTCATCCCTCCCTTCGCATGGCACTGCGGCCAGGGAGGGCAGTGCAGATCTCTCACCTCCCTCCACCCTCTTTGTTTCCCATTCAGCCGGCTGGATGCAAACCTCATCTCCGTGGTGCCCGAGAGGAGCTTCGAGGGATTGCTGTCCCTGCGGCACCTGTGGCTGGACGATAACGCCCTGACCGAGATCCCGGTCCAAGCCCTGAACCACCTGCCAGCGCTCCAGGCCATGACCTTGGCCCTCAACCAGATCTGGCACATCCCTGACTATGCCTTCCAGAACCTCAGCAGCCTCGTGGTGCTGTAAGCCTTCTCCACTTCTTACTCCATCACAGCCACAGCCTCCTCAGGCTGGGACAAGGTGCTGCCTGTGCCTGGCCCACTTCCTGCGTGGGAGGACTTGGTGGTCCCTCCCCAGGAGCTTTTTGCTGCTGGGCAGTGGCAGAGGTTTTGTTCAAAGAGTCCCTCTTTTCGATTTTTTTCCTATTTTCCCCATTTTTCACTGAAGAGCCAAAAGGTCCCTGATGGCATTCAAAACTGCTTTGTATTAAAAAAACATCAGTGCTTAGAAACAAAAGCCAGATTTAATTTTTTTTCCTTGAAGATTCAAGCAACAAAAACTTCTCAATTCTTTTCCCCCTTCAATCCCCATGGTAAAACTACAGGAATTTCTAGCAACATTGAAAAAACTTAAATTGCAACAACTTGCAGTGGGGTCAAAAGCAATGCTTTTATTTCTTGGAAAACATGCCCAGAAAAAAAACCCTTTTTGACCAAATACGATTTTAAGCCAAAGTTCTAACCTCAACACCTTGTCCCAGCCTGTGGCTGCTTATTTGCATGAGTGTGTTACATCTGTAGATCAGATGTTTTTGCAGTGAGCACAACCCCATGGGGCAGTGCTCCCAGTCCAGTTTGCACTAGAAGCAATGTATTGACAGCATTGGGAGCAATGTGGAGATCCGTGGAGATCAAAGCTGCTGCAGGACACCTGGACCAGGAGGGAAACATTCCCTCCGTGGGCTGTGAGACACTAAACCACCCACAGCCTGCAGTCAGAAGGATCCCTCTGGCAGCTACTCTGGAAGCACATCCGTCCTATCAACAGCGGCTTGTAGATTATCTCGCTCTTAAAAGGAACTTTACGTGTGCAAATTAGCTACTCATTACTTCTTTGGTCTTGATTAGCTAATTCAGGTGTGATTGCCAACTCCTTCAGAGCTTCTCTATCCACATGAAATGCCACCTCTAGTTTGGTAACTTGTACTGATACCAGAGTGTTAAGTAACCTCAGCATGTGGTGCCTTAGTGAAAGTCTAGCAATTATTTCCCTTTCGAAATTTCAAATGTTTACTGAAGCTATCCAGCATAGAAAGTGCTTGGACAAAGCACAGTTCAGGCTTTTATTAAGCATCAACTTCAGCTGTTTAGACAAAGCATAAAAACTTGTTTAGGAGAAATGGGAAAAGCAACTTGAGAACAGTCAAAAAAAATAGTTTTCACCCACACTAGTGCTCGTTCTGCAGGGCAGCCCAGGGCCACCAGAATGCAACCACTTCAGTCAGCTCTAATAGCTCACCCAGCGGGTGAGCTGACATTTGGGGTTTTGTTCAGCCTCCAAAGCCCCCAAAGCATGCTGCTTTCCATCGGGCTTGGCCTATCCTCTGGGTGAGAAGCAACTCCTTAATTAAACAGGCAAGCTCAAGAAGTAAGTCACTGACCATTAGGTCACAAGGGAGAGAATAATGTCCTACCACACACAATTGGAAGGGAACACATGTGTGATCCTGCCAGGCTCTGTGGGACATGATGCTGCATTCTTGTGGGATCACAAGTGTTTGGCAGAACTGGCCCCATAAATCTCCCCCATGCTTCCATGCAAACCCTTGTCAGCACACTGCCAGTGGAAAGTCACCCAGTGTTCCTCCTGCATCCCCACCAGGGATGTGTCCTGCTCCAGACTCACCCACCAAGCTGACAAGCAAATGTGCCAGGCTCTGTGGGACATGATGCTGCATTCTTGTGGGATCACAAGTGTTTGGCAGAACTGGCCCCATAAATCTCCCCCATGCTTCCATGCAAACCCTTGTCAGCACACTGCCAGTGGAAAGTCACCCAGTGTTCCTCCTGCATCCCCACCAGGGATGTGTCCTGCTCCAGACTCACCCACCAAGCTGACAAGCAAATGTTCCCACACACCAGCTGGAGAGC